CGGAAACTAGTTCCTGATAAACTACAATGCAAGAGATCATGTTAAAGAAGATCTACATATCTAGTACTAGTATATCACCTAATTCATTATAATTCACTTTGAACATCATTCTAATTCTTCTTTACACTTTATTCTGTGCACAGTATTTCAACTTCCATAATTTTACTGGATCCAGGGGATTTATACTGTGACTAGGATAGGCTGACTATCTAGCTTTATGGGATTCAAGCCAGTGGGTGCACTTGCACTCACATTTGGGTTCACAACCTCTACCTGTCTCACTTTTAAAAAGAACTATTTCAGTCAAAGGGATTTCTAATTTGGAGCGTTTCCAAGCTCATTTCTGAGCTCTTTTTTGCTCACTTTATATGAGAATTCAGATCTTCTCAATTGAATTCATGTACAAACACTACCAATAATAAATAACACAAACACATTTATTACCTGGCATTCACTAAGGCACTTCTTACTACTAACTATTGCTGCTAACTACTACTAGGAACTACACTTCAGCAAACTTTACCAACAACCATTTCCGTCACTCCTTCCAGCACATCCCCATTAACTGGCATATCATTTGCAACTCCCTCCTCTTCAGTCATCCCTGCAAGGCATGTTACTAGGGCAACTTGTTGCTATCTAGCTCTCTCCATCCTCATACAGTGTCCCTAATTGCAATCTCATCTTCCTTCAGTCTTTGCAGTTCAATCTCATCCTCATCACTCCAAGTAGATTCTGGAGGGAAAGACATATCCTACTCTTCCAACCAAATATCAAGCACTCCTTGTTGCATCTTTGCAGGAATCCTCTTTTATAGCTTTCACTTGCACAATGCATTGATTGCAGAAATTGGTAGGGACTTAGTAGTAACATTTCTCCCATTGGAGGTATACTCTTCAATTAACCTGCTGGTAGCCTTGGCATTGAACTCACATAGTACTGCTTTAGCCTTCTTCTTTAGTGTCTTCAGGTCTTTAATCTACTGTTGTCTTTCCTTCCTTTCTTCAGAAATAAAATAATCATTAGAGGTGTTAAGTGTGTCTCCTCCTGTAATGGGCTGGCTCTAACACAAGAACCTGTTCAGTTGATGTAGTACGGTTCCCAAAAACCAGCAATGGGAAATCATCTTGTCACACATTATCTTTCAGAGCCCGTCCTGTGGAAACAAGAACCAGTGTGACCAGATTAGGATGGTGCAAGGACTTGAAAGGTCTGTAGTCTTGGTCCATGGGCTAGGAAACATGTGTTGTATTTGGGACTCCAGCATGTAAATAGAAGCTTCTGGCTTTGAGCTTTGACAACCACCCAAGATTTTTGTTCAGGTCCACCACCAATATCCACAATTACATCTGGATAGAGCTTAACAATGGAATCCATCATTAAATGGTTGAATTCCTTTGCATCCATACTGGCTGTAGCATTGCAGTTCACTGTGATTCTGTTCTCTGTTAGCCAATTATTTTTGGCAGCACGTCCTTCATGAAATCTTCCTGGATCTTTTTGTTTGCTTCATCCTCCTCCACCTTTGATTTCAGTTGGAAATGCAACACATAACCTGCAATAGTTCTCCAAGCAAATTATAGACTTCTGGATCCCCTGTCCTTGATATAATGACGTTATTTTGGTGTATGTGTGGACTGGAAAGTTTTGTTTAATGATCTGTCTGGTGGGTGAATTAGGTACCTAGTAAAAAAAATCTTAATATTATATTTAACCTCGTGAACTAGAAGAGGCACTATATGGCCAGAACCATAGCTTTCGT